TAGACCTGGAGAATCAGCAGAGAACCTTCACTGCTCACATAGATTCGTTTAAAATATCTTGATCTGTACTCCTTGGAATATAGGCGAGATGGGAACATCACATATACCTTGAAAATTTTAGGAGGACTGGACATAAATCTGAGCGAGCGCGTAAACACACGGGGGGGGGGGGCGCGCACACACACACACACACACACACACACACACACACACACACACACACACACACACACACACACACACACACACACACACAAATCGTTCCCCATGAATCAAAAGGCTCCGCAGAAGGTTGAAAATACCCCACTGAGAAACAGAGCTGGACAAGCATCTCAACTCAGTACCTGATCATACTAGGCAGGTCTTTCAAAAATCTGTGGTGTTTACTTTGAACTTCGCGTAGCTAGCGCCAACATCCTGGTTGATCAAGTCATCCACCAGGAGGCCTGTTCTCGGACCGGAACGCGGGGGCGTTTCGCTCTCAGAACACGGTTCAAGTATACCTGATCTCTCTGGCCCAGGCTCAGACTCTTGGAACTCCATATGTATCAAAAATTGCAAAAAATAAAGAAATCTATCAATGCCTTAAATATTCTGTCCAGCCAAAATGTTGACATAAGAGTCATTCAACAGTCATAAGTATCGTTAATATTGCCCCACTCCACATCGGTGGCATCAAAGCAATTGAAAAAAAAATGATCTAAAGAACACCTGAAGAATGCTGCTAGGGGTCAAAGTCCTAGACCAGGCCTCCCAGTGGATCACCCACGCTGTTACTGCTGACCTCACGCAGTCCAACGTACGAACCACAGCTGGGATGGTGAGGAACTGATTTGAAGAACTTGTCCAGTCCCCTCTTGAAAACAGCCAGAGGTTTGTTGGTAATTTCCCTTATGCACAGAGGGAGGGGTATGATGAGTCGGGAATCTCCTACACTCAACGAGTTGTCTCTTGGTGTACTCGTCGAGTCCCTGCTTTTAATTGGAGGTTCTTTGCATCGTCTGCCAAATTTATAGATTTAACAAAGAATGATTCCGGGGTACAGGTTTGAGACCAGTCCTTCCAGGTTTTTCTAGGTGTCAATTATGATGTACCGTTCTCGCCAGTATGTCATGAAATACAGTTGGAAGAATTTCAGGCGTTTCCAGTACTTCAGAAGTTTGTGTGAATGCATACTGGCAGTGAAATTTCTCTGAACGTTTTCTAGCTCAGCAATCTCGCCTTGAATCAGGTAGCTGCTAACATGCAACAGTATTCCCTTCTGGAGAGAACAAGTAACTTGAAGAATATCATGACTGACTCAGTATCCCATGTCTTGAAAGTTCACGTTATCCAGCCTAACATTTTCCTTGCTGTAGCAATTGCCCAACCATTACGATATGACTTGTAATACCCTGAAAGATATTCAAAATGCAAATGGGGTATACAACACCTTGCAAATCCTTTTGCAAGTGTGATGATAGTGTAACAGCACTTAAACTGCATGCAAAAGTGGGTAGATAGAATATCTAATTTTTCTCACAAATTGTACTCATAGAGTTACAGTGAATAAAATAATGCTTGAGGCTGCTACTGTATACAGGGAAAAAGCGAATACACGGTCTTTTAGGACATACGAACATCTTAAGGCCAGGCTCAGATAAAGGTCAAAAGAGAAGTCAGGTATAGGTGATGTCAGAGGTGGTTAGTTATTGATGTCTTCATAATGTCTGAAGGTAACAGCCGGTCTCCCAGACATAGAACTTATTTTATCAGCCACTTGGTCTGTTGAACTGAAAAGAGATAGCTGATAATATATACATGAAATGCACTTGAGGGCCAAGTTTCTAATCTATATACTACCTTAACTTACATAAAAGAAAAACTGGAGGAAGTGTAAAATACTCCCAGTAAAATTCTTGGCACTCCCTGCATGGTCCAAGACAATTTAACTTATTACCAGCAGATATCAAAAATATTGCTGGAACAAGTGTAGAGATCATCAAGAGAAAACCGGATCACTTCCTCTTGGAAGATGCAAACTCGAGAGAAAGAGTTGCTTTCTCTACAGGCGAAGACGATAAATAACAGTTCTCAGTGGCACGAAGAGAAGAGAAATTCTGGTTAGAGAAATGGAGAACATCGAGCACAAACTGACTGTATCACATAAGACTCCAGGAGAAACAGAGGGAGCATATTCCAAACACTACTGTGCAAAATCCAGGGCAAAAGCTACATCCAGTATAGGCCCTTCACTTAACGGAGATTTAACAGACGCCGATTACAATAAGGAAATGAGTGAACTGCTTAAGTCATAAAACGAGTCTGTATTCATTGAACCGCTCACCAGTCTATAGACTGATAACCCAAACGAGTTATTTTAATTAATAACACTCAAAATACTTTCAACATCTCCACAATTTCCAGTTTAGCTCTTTTCCCAGTTGACTTTGAAAAAGTCATCGACAACATGCCCATGAATTCCGTTCCAGACCCAGACTCTGGGAATTCTATATTCATGAGAAATTGTAAGAAACTACTTTAATATTTTATGGAGGAGCCTGGACACAAGTGTTATCCCACAGTCTTTGAAAACCCACTTATATTGTTCCACTTCACTAGGTAGGCAGTGAAGCAATTCGGAAAAAAATCTGAGTCTTAGAAAGGGTAAGAAACAAGATTGCCAATCACATTGAATCACAACAGTTGCACAATCCAGGGTAGCATGGGTTTAGGGCACCTACCCCTACGATACCATCTCGAATGCACTAGAAGACAAGTTAAATGTTGGTGTAGTGTACACTGATTTTGCAAGAAGGTTCAACAAGTGCAACTATGGTGTGATTACGCACAAAAATGTGTGCAAAAGCAGTAACTGGAAAGTTGGGCAGATGGATAATTAGCTTAGGAAATAGAACACAGAAAGTAGTAAACAGCGAAGTTGGAGGCTATCACAAGAAAAAGCTAATGTTCCTCGAGGCACAATACTCGCTCCACTTCTGTTTCTCATTATCTTTGAGATAACACCAGAATCTCTACAAGAGTGGCGTCAGTCGAAGACATAGCAAGTCTTCAGTCTACTATAAATCAAGCTCCGCTTTGGAAGAATAGAAGAAATAAAGACTGTAACAGAGTACAGGCAAACCCAAATTATTCAGTAGAGTGAAAGTCCCATGTGCGAGGCTTAGGAGAAATGATGTCGGAAGATCTCACATTCAAGGATCACAACGCTGCCATTGCTACAAGGAAAATGGTAGGTTGGATAACTAGAACTTTCAAGACAAGAGATGTTGAGCCAGTAATGGTACTTTTTAAGTCACTTGTTCTTTCCAGGCTAGAATACTACTGTATATTTACGACTTTCTTCAGGGCAGGCAGTTTGCTGAGCTGGAATTTGTACAGAGAACTTTCAATGCTCGTATACGCTCAGTCACGCATTTGAACTAATGGGAACACTTGACATCCCTTCAACTGTATTCCTTGGAACGTAGCCTGGCCCATGGCCGGGCTCCGAGAGTAGTGAGATTCTCGAAACTTGAAACTCATCAAAGGTATATCTACACATGGAAAATCCTGGAGGGACTGGTTCCAAACTTCAACACCAAAATCACTAAGTATGACAAGAGACAAAATACCTCCAATAAAAATTAGGGACGCGACAGCCTGGTTGAAAAGGCAATCAACAGAAAAGTCTGGCTCCAGGCGGGGCTGCGAGGGTAGAAAAACTCTTGTAACTGGTTACAGGTACAGTACAGTATATCACAGGTAAGAGGGTGGTGAAAGACAAGCTTAGAAGATAAGATAAGAGACCTGCAGGAACACGTCTGCTTATCACTCCACTCCCACTCCCATTACCTAATAGGGGAGGGGGTGGAGGGAGCCGATGAAGAGGGGGATTGAGGGAAAAGACTGGGTGGTGGTGTTGATTAGATGAGTAAGGTGTTGGTGGACTGAGAGAAGGAGACGAGTAGAATTAGGTGTCAAGAGAGAAAGACAGAAAACGGAACAGTAAGGAGGTAGAGGAATGAATGTGCGTAGTACTGATAATGGGATGAAGATAGAAGGAAAGGGGAGAAGAAAAGTGGGTAGCAACGACGGCAAGAGAAGGTGAGCGAGGCTGGTGTCTCCTCTAGTATCTGGTAACAGTTGAAGCGATCAATATCTCCATTACTCAGTTGATCCTGGTTGACAACCTGATCGCTCAAGTTGTTGGTGTCGACTGCACGCAGTCCTACGTAGGTACAACAGTCCAAGTGATTAGGAACAGTTTGCAGGAATTTTTAAAGTATCCTTAAGAAGGCATAAAACTGTTGGTAATTCGTCTTGTGTTTGAAGGGAGGTTTAGAGAAAGTTGTAGAAAGTGAGGTAGGAGAGAAGTTGTACGAAAGTGTTTATTTCTTTTTAAACTTAAACGAAACTGGGAACATCGGAGCATATTGTTACTCTGATAGTTCCATTGTAGGAGCAAAACATAAAGAAAAGCAAAAGGATGAGGTATACACCGACTTTACAGAAGTTTTCGATATGACATACTTACAAACAAAATACGTCCGAAAGGAATAAGTAGAAAAGTGGGTCGATGGGATTTTTAATTTTATAACAAATGGAACCAGTACAGCAGTAATCAAGATTCTGACCCCAGGGGCAAGTTTATCGGTCATCACCAATCATTCTGCGAGTGAATATACCACCACTGACTAGTAAACTTTTTTTTTTTTCAATTCATCCTCTAGAATCTAGATTCTTAATTTGAATTGTCCCAGTTATATGTTGCAATGTTACTTTATGATGGAGAAGACTGGGATAACTGTTAGGGAGGTTTATCTACCGGTTGTTTACCTGAATTTGAATCCCGGGGTAATCGCCCCCGCGGCCTGGTCCCCGAGCAGGCCTCCTGGTAAATAACCTGATCAGTCAGGGTTTCGGGATAGGGTAGATAGGGAAATCAGGGTAGGGTAAGCCTGTAAGGTGGTGCTGGTATCGTTATCAGTGTTGATCTTCACGCGCCCTCAGTGTGCCGTTGTCCCTCGTGTCGGTGACCCATGTATCACTCTCACCGTCAGGTTTCCTGTTCCTCCAGCTTCCCTCATCAGTGATCCCGGGGTTAATTCCCTGAGTCACAGGATTCTGATTCTTCCTGCTTCTCATCACTGGACCTGTGCTTGACTCCCACCATCTACAGAGTTCCGAGTCCTCCTGCCTCCATCATTAGCGTCACCTGCACAACAACCAGGATTTAGTTGTTTACTTGTAGGTTTCATTAACCATCAGGTAATAACATTAGTCAGTGAGTCTCAGACCACATTTTTTCGGTAATTATCTTAGCGTTGGTGTGTCTCCTGTGTGTATGGGGAGGTCCTCCAGCTCCTGGCCCCCACTCTTAGTCTTCAATCGACTGGGGTAGTTATGCCTCTGAATATCTACTACTGATATCTACTACTATAATTTGCATATAACGTCGTTATTTTAGCCATCAAGACTCACTGATAAACGAATACAAGTGCTGCGCCTACTTTAAGATTTTCTTCTTCCTTGTAAGCCTCTACAGTGAATTTTTGTCCCGAAGCGGAAAAACTGGGAGACAGTAGAATTACCTCCGTTAACATGGTGAATATTTCCTTGTAACCTAAAGCAAAATTTAAAAATATATATAAATAAAAATAATAGGGCCAATTTCTCATTACTTGTTCTGGTCCCGCTTTGATGTCTGAGTCTTTTACTGCATTCTCGAAGCAGTTCACGCTAGTTGTCTGTTTTGAGGCCTGTATAAAGCTTCCAAAACTATAACTCTTGGTATTCTAGCAACACAGAGAGCAATGCTGGCCAAACACCTGACTCGCTGAGAGCTTCTTACAGTTCTTTACTTCGTCTGAAGTAGCTGTAGTCTTTAGAGGGTTCTTGCATTTATTTATTGTCAGTAAACTCCATGTAAACTGTCTGTGGGATGGTACAAGGATTCTTTACCATGGTCAAGGATTCTTGTCTATGGTAAAAAGATATTTGTCAGGTTTGGCTGGTATACATTAAAATTTATGTAGTATATGTTTGGTATACAGTACTGACAAAATGAAGAATGAAACATGTGTAACATCTGTGTACCTTTATTAGAGACGTTTCACCATCCAGTGTCAACCAATACAAATTCAGTAACATAATCGGAAGACAGTAGAACCATATACAAAAGATGAGATAATCAGTCCCTCAGCCTCCAAGGCTGAGGGACTGATTACCTCGTCTTTCGTATATGGTTCTACTGTCTTCCGATTATGTCACTGAATTTGTATTGATTGACACTGGATGGTGAAACGTCTCTAATAAAGGTAAACAGATGTTACACATGTGTCCAATTCTTGATCAAGATTTATGTAGGTTTTGAGAGCCTTGCCAGTGTACGGAGAGAGAGTGTTCACCATGTCATGGAATAAATAAGGAGGTGTGAAATCGGTAACTAATGCACTGTCAGATTGAGACCCTCTTGGAACAGACCAGCCGGCGACACGTACACTGTACTTCAACCATACCAGCTGAAATTTCCGTAGATATCTTTCAAGTGTTTATCCTGTAGATGACTGGCTTCACTTGATATTGTTAAACACTGTTTGAACAGTTCTCTAGAGACTGATTTATTACACACACACACACACACACACACGTACGTGCGATCTTCGGAGGTTATTACATATTCTTATCAACACAAGTTTGTGCGGTTGCACGTCCATTATGGTGGACAAGTGTCAGTCAGCTGGCAGTAATCAGTACGTCTTGGTTGCATCTCCCCTTTATTTACCTCCTAGCTCTATCCTCCTACTACTATAACTACTGCTATTACTATAACTGCCACTGCCATTTCTGCTGCTATCACTACTACTACTGCCGCCGCTGCCACTGCCACCGGCAGTAGTATTGCTAAAACTGAACTATTTTACTGCCAGCCTCCAGCAGCAGTTATAAATCATTTTCCAAAGTGTCTGAGGTGCCATCTGGCGGTGTTATCATCGAGGCCAGACCAGGCGGGCGCAACACCCACCCTCAGTGTGTCACCGTGACGCACGTTGATCACAGTGTCACCGTGACACACGCTGATCACAGTGTTACCGTGACGCACGTTGATCACAGTGTCACCGTGACGCACGTTGATCACACTGTCACCGTGACGCACGCTGATCACAGTGTTACCGTGACACACGCTGATCACAGTGTCACCGTGACGCACGTTGATCACAGTGTCACCGTGACGCACGTTGATCACAGTGTCACCGTGACACACGCTGATCAGTGTCACCGTGACGCACGTTGATCACAGTGTCACCGTGACGCACGCTGATCACAGTGTCACCGTGACGCACGCTGATCACAGTGTTACCGTGACGCACGCTGATCACAGTGTCACCGTGACGCACGTTGATCACAGTGTCACCGTGACGCACGTTGATCACAGTGTCACCGTGACACACGCTGATCAGTGTCACCGTGACGCACGTTGATCACAGTGTCCCCGTGACACACGTTGATCACACTGTCACCGTGACACACGTTGATCACACTGTCACCGTGACACACGTTGATCACACTGTCACCGTGACGCACGCTGATCACAGTGTCACCGTGACGCACGCTGATCACAGTGTCACCGTGACACACGCTGATCAGTGTCACCGTGACGCACGTTGATCACACTGTCACCGTGACACACGCTGATCACAGTGTCACCGTGTCACACGCTGATCAGTGTCACCGTGACGCACGTTGATCACACTGTCACCGTGACACACGCTGATCACACTGTCACCGTGACACACGCTGATCACAGTGTCCCCGTGACACACGCTGATCAGTGTCACCGTGACGCACGTTGATCACAGTGTCCCCGTGACACACGCTGATCAGTGTCACCGTGACGCACGTTGATCACAGTGTCACCGTGACGCACGCTGATCACAGTGTCACCGTGACACACGCTGATCACAGTGTCACCGTGACACACGCTGATCACACTGTCACCGCGACACACGCTGATCACACTGTCACCGTGACACACGCTGATCACACTGTCACCGTGACACACGCTGATCACACTGTCAACGTGACAGACGCTGATCACAGTGTCCCCGTGACAGACGCTGATCACAGTGTCCCCGTGACACACGCTGATCACAGTGTCCCCGTGACACACGCTGATCACAGTGTCCCAGTGACACATTGATCACAGTGTCACTGTGACACACTGATCGCAGTATCACCGTGATACACACTGATAACACACACTGTCAGTCACCATGAGTACAGTGTATCACCATGATTGGTGTCACCGTGATCATAGTGCCACTGTGATCACAGTACATCACTTGGCTCTACTTTAATAAAGGAACACCAACAGAAGTTAGTAGTGAGATCAGTCTCTCCAGTGCCTCTCTCTCTCTCTCTCTCTCTCTCTCTCTCTCTCTCCTCTCTCTCTCTCTCTACTCTCTACTCTCTACTCTCTACTCTCTCTCTACTCTCTCTCTCCTCCTTCATCTTCCAGCTCTCCCTCCCCTCCTCCCTCCCCTCCTCCCTCCCCTCCTCCCTACCGCCCTCGACTCATTTATATTCCACAATACTAATTTCGTCGCTTATAAAATCTATTCAGTTTATACATAGCAATATATGTGTTCATGTCTGCCCCTCCTCCCCTCTCCTTCCCCTCTCCTCCTTCCCCTCTCCTCCTTCCCCTCTCCTCCTTCCCCTCTCCTCCTTCCCTTCTCCTCCTTCCTCCTCCTTGTAGCCTATTGTGTGTGCCTCTGCAGGGTAGCCACCCACACGGGTTTAGCGCTTCACCAACCGCCATGACCCATACGGGTTTGGCGTTACGGAAAATTCGTATTATCTGCCTTTATATAGTCACACATTTCCTCTTGAAAACGAGAATCGCTGCTCTTGTTTTTTCTTGAACTTCTCTTCACTAGAAATTAGTAATTCTGAATATTAAGGCTTATCAGAAAAATATTTCTTCAAGTTCAGTTGTAAAGATCGAGGCAGTTCAGGCTTCTCTAATTTGAAATTAAAGAGTCATTTTTGTTGAATAAAACACACACACGCAGGGAGAGAGACGACCTAGTAGCAGACATTGAAGAGGCGGGGTCAGGAGCTATGACTTGATCCTTGCAACCACAAATTAGTGAGCACACACACACACACACACACACACACACGCACACACACACACACACACACACACACAGGAGGAGAGTGGTGGAGCACCTGGAACGGAACAAGAGTATAAATGCCAACCAGCACGGATTCACGGAAGGCAAATCCTGTGTCACAAACCTTCTGGAGTTTTATGATAAAATAACAGAAGTAAGACAAGAGAGAGAGGGGTGGGTTGATTGCATCTTCTTGGATTGCAAGAAGGCCTTTGACACAGTTCCTCACAAGAGATTAGTGCAGAAGCTAGAGCATCAGGCGCATATAACAGGAAGGGCACTGCAATGGATCAGAGAATACCTGACAGGGAGGCAACAACGAGTCATGGTACGTAATGATGTATCACAGTGGGCACCTGTGACGAGCGGGGTCCCACAGGGGTCGGTCCTAGGACCAGTGCTATTTTTGGTATATGTGAACGACATGACGGAAGGGTTAGACTCAGAAGTGTCCCTGTTTGCAGATGATGTGAAGTTAATGAGGAGAATTAAATCTGATGAGGACCAGGCAGGACTTCAAAGAGACCTGGACAGACTGGACACCTGGTCCAGCAAATGGCTTCTCGAATTTAATCCTGCCAAATGCAAAGTCATGAAGATAGGGGAAGGGCACAGAAGACCACAGACAGAGTATAGGCTAGGTGGCCAAAGACTGCAAACCTCACTCAAGGAGAAAGATCTTGGGGTGAGTATAACACCGAGCATGTCTCCGGAAGCACACATCAATCAGATAACTGCTGCAGCATATGGGCGCCTGGCAAACCTGAGAACAGCATTCCGATACCTTAGTAAGGAATCATTCAAGACACTGTACACCGTGTATGTCAGGCCCATACTGGAGTATGCAGCACCTGTTTGGAACCCGCACTTGATAAAGCACGTCAAGAAACTAGAGAAAGTACAAAGGTTTGCAACAAGGTTAGTTCCAGAGCTAAGGGGAATGTCCTATGAAGAAAGATTAAGGGAAATCGGCCTGATGACACTGGAGGACAGGAGGGTCAGGGGAGACATGATAACGACATATAAAATACTGCGTGGAATAGACAAGGTGGACAAGGACAGGATGTTCCAGGGAGGGGGGACAGAAAC